TTGTGCACCGGGCCTCTAGTACTTAAATAAAAACTCAAATAAGACATAACTCCAACTTGAGGTTTTCCTTAAATCTAGTTTTAAATTATGAACTAACACAGATGCTAAAATCTTTACTAAATGCCTTATGAAAACTGCAGCAATGGAAACGGAAGCAACGGAGCCCTTTCTATTCCTGTATTTTTCCGAAAAGAGGACATTTAGTCAGCACCATCATATGCAGAGGCTCTTGGGAGGCTGGGCAGTTCGCAGCCGAGGAGAATAAGCAGACAAAGCCCCACTGTGACCTGCCCCGCTAGCACTCTGCTGACCAGGCATGGAGCTCAGGCCCGTCTCACTTTAGAGTCTATGCATTTCCACTTCCACACACAGGTAGCTTCATTGCAGCAGGATCGTTAAACTCATAATTAGACATCCTTCCTCGCACCCCTTGCCCCTCACCAGAACCAGAGAATGCCAGACTGAACCTGGGAAGGCCTCCTCTCCCTGCACACAGAAGGACCTAGAGGCCTAGAGATATGAAGTAACTTCCCAAAGTCATTCAAGCCTGTAAACTGCAGGGCCAGGATAGAATCACGTTTCAAGTCTCAGGGCAGTGCCCTTACTCTGCACACTGCCTTTGCTCTGTGTGTAATAGTTCCAGGACTCTTCCACCTGCCTCAGTCCTTTCTTAATAACATGTCAGAACATCCAAGGGCTGACAGCACTTGGGAAGTTCTTGTAACAGCAGGATACAAGCACCAAGGTCACAGAGTCATTCTGACACTCCTTGCTGTGGCCCTGAAGTGTATCACCGAGTACATGCCCTTCCCACGGATGGCTTAACAGCATGTACTGACTGTATTACCAACAAGCCTGAAGAAAACTGAAGTCGCACTTCAGGAGACTGCAATAATGATCTCCTTAGGTATCACACAACTAAGGATGCAAGAATCAGAATGTCAAACAGAAGGACGGGACACAGAACTGGGCTCAACATGCCAGCATATCATCTATCCAGGTCCCATGGATGCAAGATGAAGACCCGTGCCACCAATAAGAATGTGTATTTCCAATATCTCCAGTTTTAATTTTTATGTTCACAACAAGCCTAATAGGTAGTAGGAGCAGGTTCAAAACTAGTTTTGACTGCTTCCATAGTTTTCATCATGCCAATTGTAATGCCTGGAAAAGTTGAATAACACAAGTATCTACTGAGCACTGACCATCTGCCAGGAACTACCAGAAAAATATAAGAAATAGTTCTTGCCCTTTCAGCGCTTACAACCTGATGGAAGAAACATGACCACATACACAAGCAGAGTGGCTAACCTAGGCCCATTTCAGGCTTTTTCTAATCTCTAAAACATGCGCACAAGGTCCTGGAGGAGCGGGGGACACGTAGAGACCAGCTGACAGCAGGAGACCTACGGGACTATTTATAGCATGAAGGAGAGAACAAACATGACTTCATGGTACATGGAAACATGAGGTCCATGTAAAGGAACAAATCTCTACAATGCTGCTTGTAGCCTGACAAGCAGACTAACTTTTCTTCCCCAAAAGACTGGAGGTTAATGCCCATGTCCTATAAACAGAGTCCCAAAACTAGGTTTCCCGGAATCATTTCAGAATCCAGCCAATATACCAGCTTCAGGCTTTCTCATCCATTGTTGTGACCCACAGATACATTTCTACAACTTTTTGTTCATTGTAATTAACATGTCTCATCTTTTGCCAAAATCATAATCGCAGATGTGATTAATCACACCACTGTTTACATTTTCTTATGAAGAAGCAAATTTCAACCAGCCTTAACAGTAAATGAGTCCTGTGAAACTGAAATAAAAAAATCTTCAGAATTCTAGCACTCCTTATCTAAAAATAGTTTGGAGAATCTGAAATTATATAGTATGTTATCCATCCCTTTATCAACAATGGAAAACTCTAGTAAAGTGACCAAAATGAACTTCTACTAAAATTCCAGATTTTATCTCCAACCTCCAGAAGAGTTGATTTAAAGTATTATAAATGACTAAGTATGAGTTATTGAATTCTGTAAGTATGTCTTAATACCTTTTGTTAAACACTGCTGGCTGCTTTTCCTGAAGCTTTAATGTAAAACAGAATGAAATATCTGTTATATATTTTTAAAAGTACACAACAATTTAAGAAAAAGAATAACATCAAGTTTCTACTTCCCCCTAAAATATAGAATCTAAATTAGGGTTAAAATAAAAATATCAGCTCATTCACAAGGAGGCAATTTGATTTTAATAAACAAACATTAAGTACAACCTATGAGCCTACAATTTTTCTTTTCCTTATTTGAGGACAGAAAAATACTTCTTATAAATGTGGCACGAGGGTCTTACTCACACTATAAAAACTCTTGGAATATCGGCTTTTGTTTTTTGTGGACCTAAATGTTTCATACAAACCTTTCTTTACCACTGAAAACTAAAACTTTAGGGAGAGTAGTATTTAGATATCATTAAAGAGTCCCAGGACTGGTGACACTAATACACTCTCCCGGCTTTGACTAGTGGCCCAGGTAGTATTTTCTGTGACTTTTTTGCCTTCTACCAGCATGTGTGACCTGAATGGATTTACTGGTATTCAGTTGAAGAATACAGGTATTACGAAATACAAAAACAACATTGTGGCCCTGGCTGGTGTGGCTCAGTTGGTTGAGTGTTGTCCCATGCACTGAAAGATCACTGGTTCAATTCCTGGGCAACATGCCCATGTTGCAGCCAGGATCTCAAGTAGGGGGCAGGCAGGAGGCAGCTAATCCATATTTCTCTCTCATTGATGTTTCTAACTCTCTGTTACTCTCCCTTTCTCTCTCTTTAAAAAAAAAGAAAAGGAAAAAGTGGAGCCTTTCCCTTGATAGAATGAAAGGCTTGAAAGATAATTGGAAAGAAAATAGCTTCACCTTCCTCTTTAAAAAAACCTCAAAACAAACAGAAAAACATTGTGAAATATACCATTTTCACTTTTTTATCTGCAGTGGCAAAAAGACTATCTTCTCTGAACGAGATGTCCCGGTCAATATCACTAGTTCAACTTAAATATGGGTTTCGCAGAAACATATTCCATTAAACTGAAGCTAATGCATTTAGATTAAAAAACAAAACAAAACCTGAACTCCAAAAAATAAAACAAATCTTCCTGTCGTTAGGTTAAACAAAAAAGGTAAGAACTACTTAGTTTGGAGGCTACAGAGTTTAATTTGATGAGTCAGGAAAGAAAACCTAGGTAAAAACATAGCTTTCTCTGAAGGTTCACCTATACTGAACAAATCTATACTAATAAAAGGGTAATATGCTAATTAGACCAGGTCGATCGGACATCTTCTGGACGTCCGACTTCCTTCAGAACAAAGCCATGGTGGCGGGGGCCAAGGCAGAGGCGGTTAGGGGCAATCAGGCCGGCACAGGGGAGCAAGCAGTTAGGGGCGCAATCAGGCCGGCAGGGGAGGGCAGCTGGGAGCGATCAGGCCAGCAGGGAAGCAGTTAGGCAGCAATCAGGCAGGCAGGCAGGCAAGCAAGTGGTTAGGAGCCAGCAGTCCCAGATTGTGAGAGGGATGTCCCAGATTGGAGAGGGTGCAGGCCGGGCTGAGGGATACCCTTCCCATGCACGAATTTCGTGCACCGGGCCTCTAGTAATATTAATAACTGCCACATTCTCTTTGCTGCCACGATGCTCTACTGCCTAAGTTGAACTATATGATCCATCACATAATGTCATGCACAGAACTGTGGAGTTGTATTTGGGGTTAACATAGTCCACAGAGTTCATTTCAGAGCTATGACCATCAACACCAAACATAAAGGTGAAATGATGTCCTCTCCATGGCAGTGGTGTGTTTCAGACACAGGCTTACACCGAAGAAGGGGAATGTGTACTGAGATGTCACACACCCTACCACATATTGCTCAGGAATGAGGAAGGTACTGGAGAAACCCTGTAAATGCTACCATCCAGATCCATGCCTTCAGATGTCCTCATAGAAATCCTTTTGGTACAAAAGTGTTCCAATGTGATCCCATTGAATGTGATCCCAGATGAACTTATACATGCTGAGTTTTATAACAGTGAAATTTTACTCATATTCAAATTCTATTTGGATTGTTTAAAAAATGCAAATGTTTAGTTTTGATTTTTTGAATAAGTGATACACTAATAAGATTAAGGATTTATGTAATGTATGTGTTGTTTTTTCAGGCATCTGTACTGCCACAGCGGTGGTGGTTTCATAAGATAGGAGGGTAGCGTGTACTCAGATACAGGAGAAATGCTCATTCGCTTAAATTACAAAATGTGGTCAGCGGTGCTGCAAGTGATCACACTGCCCTTCTTGTAATTTTAAATGGTGAAGATATAAATGTTAACAATTGTAAAGTCTCCAACATCCTTTTTAGGAAATCTAGCTGTGCTCTTAAACCTTTATATTTTTAGTAGCCATAAATTAATTCGTCAATTTGGCTATACGCTGTTAAATAAGCTTTCTTTTGCTTTTGTGCTCTTTTCAAACTCAGTGACCTCAATTTTATCCACTGTCCTCTCTTCTCATGGCATGAAACAGGATAAATACAAATGTCAAAAGGGAAGTCCACCCAGCAAACAGTAACAGTCCCATACCCCCACGCCGTAATTTCCTAACAAGAAAGAACCAAGCTATTTTGACATTGAGGTTATATTCCCTTTCTATTTTTTTAATACTTCCTCTTCGCTTTGGATTTTTATTAGCTTTTCAAAACATTCACCGATTTAAATAAAGCCATATGGTTCTTAGAAGGTCACTAAAACTTTGTAATTTCAGGAAGTTATCTTTTCCAGATTAGTAATATTTGAGGTTGCAAATGGGTGAGAATCAACCATAGTCTCAGGTGATTTTACTCAAGAGAATAAAGCTTAGACACAAGAAAAATCCTGCCAACCTCAGGATGCTCTGGAAATGACTGTCACTGTTGTAAAGAGCAGAGTTGGTGGTGATGTCAGAAACTTCTGCTTACCCCTTGTTCAGATTCCAAAAGCTCTGTTTTGACTCTGACTGCCGGCATCCCATCAAGCATTAACATTCTGTTTTCAGAAGTGTTGATATTCTGAGAATCAAAAAGAGAGAGAGGGAAATTCAGCTTTAACGCATTCAAAAGAGGACATCTGTTAGAGCCCGCCTTCACTGTAGTACATTTAGTACAGTTAACCTAATTTTTTAACAATGAAGCATAATTAAATGAGAATATCAGCACAACCAATTATCTGCTCATTCTGAACTTTCCTTTGAAATAATGGCCAAGAAGTTGAATTAATCAGTCTGATTCTCTGACCTCAGGGTTGGAGGTCAGACTATAATAAACCGGCGTAAGGAAACCTTACATTAATTTACAGGGAGCTGGGGCAATTCATCACACTTTTGCAAAAGTGAAAGGAAATAGAAGGCAAGATTCTTTCTTCATTACTTCTGGAGGTTGTACTGCATACAAAAATCCATAGAAGAGGAAATAGATAAAAATAGTTTATATAGTCTCAAATTATTGTCTCAGATTATTAAAAACAAAATAATATAGTTCTAGACACATTGAATTTTGGTATTATAGCAATTCTTATCAAATGAAAATTTTAACATATCAACAACACCAAACATCTTTAAAAACAACTAACATAATAAGTCTTGGATAAGAGTGAATGTTTAATTTGAAGTCATAACTAAAGAATAATCTGGTTTTTGTTACACTATATGTTAGGCTCAATTCGCCACCTCTTGAAAGGAAAACCTTATTTCTATTGTATTCAATAGAATTTCAAACTCTATTTATAAAAAGATTAAATCAAGGTTATTTTCTAGTCATTCTCACTGCTTTGGGAATTTTCTGAAGTCAATAACCTATGAAGGTAGTCAGAAAGCCTCATATCAGTACTTGCTTAAGGCCAAAATCAAGCTCATGTTTTAAAACATCTTTAGAATGCCAATTTTACCCTTGTATACTGACTAAACTAAAAAACTGAAATGCCTAAATTTGAGTTTTTAGAATGATTCCTTTGCTCAATTATAGAATGTAATCATATGATACTAAAATGGTGTTATTAAAAGAAAAAGTTTATAAATATTTATAAACTGTTTATAAATATTTTTTCCTACCTGGTAATAAAGGTTAATACCATTTCTAAACCTTAGATTTTTAATCTTTCATATAGTAGTTGCTTTTATATCATGTAGTTAAATAAGAACACCATCCACTTCAATAAATCAAAAAATTAAATGTTTTTATCACTAAATAATACCAACAGAGTGCAGTATAGTGAACTCTAATTATTTCTCCTATTTCTTGACTCCTCTTTTTGTTTAAGAAAAATATTCTAAGAAATAAAATGTATGGGATCTCTTATCCCAAATATTTGCTATGAAAAATCAACAAGAAGGAAAAGCAAATTTATCCCAGAGTTAACTAAAGAACATTTTAAAAAATTCCACAGTACCTAGTCTATTAAGTAATAAAAAGAAAATAAATGACTGCTATGTTCTTTTCTTAGAAATGTACAGTATTATTAAAATAGGCAGGATACTGTTTTTTAATCTTTGCTTTTAACTGGTCCATAATTTTAGAGATTTTACATCCTAATAGATAGCTTAGAGCAGAAGGAACTTTGGTAATACTGGCAAGCTCAGTTAATTTGTTCCTAGCTTAAAATCCATTAATGGAGGCTGGTGAGTTGTTTAAATATCAGGCATGGATCTCACATTCTAGTGTGTCACTTGCTTCTGTGGTTGGAAGCAGCCAGCCTGGCTTGCCACCATCCAGTCTCAGGAAAGCCTTCCAGCAAAGACCAGCCCTCAACTCCCCCTGCCTTGCTCAGCAGCCAGGAATCTACAGTAGCAAAGCATCCCCTAGCCCTTGGTCGGCAAACGGCAGCTAGTGAGCCACATGCGGCTCTTTGTGCCCTTGAGTGTGGCTCTTTCTAAGCCTTAGGAGTACCCTAATTAAGTTAATAACAATGTACCTACCTATATAGTTTAAGTTTAAAAAATTTGGCTCTCAAAAGAAATTTCAATTGTTGTATTGTTGATATTTGGCTCTGTTGACTAATGAGTTTGCCAACCACTGCTAGGCTGTTTGGTGGGTAGACAATGAAGGATGAGTTGACATTGCTTCCTACCCGGGAGGAGATCCTGTCCAGAGAAAAAGGGAAGAAGATGCTTTGCAAAGGAGGGGAAAAGACAAAGAGCATCCTAGAAAGGCAGGTTTAATGAACTGTTAGAATCTGATTAGAAGCTAATGTCCCTTTTAGTGCTTTGTACCAATTTACAGCTGGTACACTTTAACCATTTTCCTCACTAGCTGGGATAAACTCATTAGTCTAAAAAATGCAAGCTAACCAGAGTCTTTGAGGTTAGAACTGTTAAATCATGAAAACCTGACTAGGTTCATGTTCCACTGAGCACATTTAAATATCACTGTATTTTCATGATAGTTTTCTTTTTATTGTTGTTCTTGAATAATTCTACATGTGCAAAGACAGGTTATACATTTTAGTTTCATGTAAAAGTGAAAAAATAAAATACATTTTCAAAAAATGTTTAAGAAATTAAGTTTCCCCTGGAAATATTTCTCTTTCCATGATTTTTCAGATCACTCACAGCCACACCCATAAATAAACATCATACATAACAATGCTCACCACTAAGGAACCAATCCTTAACTATTAAACTCTTTCAACTAGAGAAGATTCAATCTGTATATATGCCTGAGTGTTACATTCCAAATATATATGAAGCATATTAATCTCTACATTCATGACTCTAACCCTGTTTAGCATAAACATAAGCACTGAGCATCACAACATATTCTAGACCAGTGGTCGGAAAAATGCGGCTCGGCAAACCGTGGCTCTTTGGCCCCTTGAGAGTGGCTCTTCAACAAAATACCAGCTCTTCCACAAAATACCGACTTCTGTGCATGGGCCACGAAGTTTCAGTTGCACTGTACGTGTGCGCCCGCACGTGGTATTTTGTCAAAGGGTTACACTCAAGGAGCCAAAGAGCCACATGTGGTTCTCGAGCCATGGTTTGCCAACCACGGTTCTAGACCATCCAAAAAGGTATATAGTTTTTATATAGTGCATGGTAATTATGCAGCATAGAGGATATAGTCCTTGGAAAAAATATCAATATATTTGTCTCTCTAAGCTAAAATCAGATACATACAATCTCAGTTAATTGTAGACTTTAAATATGTAATAAAATCTAATAATTTGAAATTATTGTCAAACATATCCTGCCATGATATTAATCAAAGCACATTTGCTGTGGAATCAATAGCTCAATTGATGCCCAAGAGGTAAATAAAATTACATAGTCATCAATTGTAGTAACATGGTCCTCTTTGTATATTAATGTTGCAGCAAATATTTTGATATTATACAAGCCTATACAATTTATATATGTATGCATATATTCATACACACATGTATATACACATGTGTATACACCTGTTATTTTGTATGAATAAATTTTATCAATTAAAGCAAAAACTATCATCAGATTTATGAGTTGGCTGTTGACCAATACATGTGAACTGAATGAGAAGAATACCCTGGATATTCCTATCGGTAAATTAGATTTGCCAAAACAATTGTCCAGCTGATATCGCTCTTCTAGTCAAAAGCTGTATAAATACAAAGGTCACTAATCTTACCAAATCAAAATATTATGAATGGAATATGCAAGAAGGGAAGAAATTAATGCTCAATGATCATATCTCATAAAAACACTGAATAAGAGTGACTTTCCAGGTTAACCCTACAATCTACCCTCCTTCTCCCATAATCAGGTTTTTTCCTATCCCTCGTCCCGATTATGGGCCATCTAGTTTGTACAACTGGAGTAAGAAAGAGTCAGTCAATCAATATTTAATAGACCTAATTTCAAACAAAGCTTTCCGTTATAAGCCAAAAATATCTATCTACTGGTGTTTTGATTTCTTGAGTAAACATACGGGGCATGTTTACTTAAATGGTTATCCATCTTAAATTTTCATGTTTGGCTACAGGTGATGAGAAACATAAATGGGCTCCATCCATACCCACATTATGTTAAACAGTGATATAAGGGACATATGAGTAGCAATTCACGATTCATTGCACCAAGTTGATTAAGGCATTTTCATAGAAGATTCTTAAAGGATTATAAAGCAAGTGTGCCAACTGGTTAAAAGTGTCATCCTTGATTATAGAAAAAGCTAAAGTATCAGAATACAAGGAAATTGGGGTTTTGCTTAAAAAAACAATAACCCTCCTTAGAGAAGTCAACCTCTCCCCTTTCTTGAGTCACCTCTACCATAACAATAGATTAGAATACACTCAGCCAGTGGTTTCAGTTATCTATTGCTGTGCAACAAGTCACATAGTAGCATAAAACAACAATCATTTTATTATTCTTGGTAATAAATATAACACCTTCTATTTGCATATTTACTATGGACCAGGCTCTGTGCTTATAGCAACCCAAGAGGTCAATGCTATAGTCTCTGAAGATGAGTCAGCTGCGACACAGGAGATTAAACTGTCCAAGGTCACAAGATAAGTAAATGTAAGTAAATGGTATAGCTCTGTTACAAACAAATGAGTCTGAGCCCAAGTGAGCTCCTGACCACCTGTCTCCTCTCTTTCCTTTCTCTCTCTCTCTCTCTCTCTCTCTCTCTCTCTCTCTCTCTCTCTCTCTCTTTTTTTCCTCTAAGGGCTGAGATTATTTAGTCATTGAACTAAATGTGCAACTTCTAGTCACTGGTGAGAATTAAGAATCAGCATTAGGGAAACAATAATGAAGGGTTAAATAAGCACTTAAATTCACAGCTATTTCACTCTTTAAATCAAGCTTTCAACATACTTCTTTGGCTTGATAAAATTATACATTCCTATCGTTAAATATCTCATAATTAATTTAGAAGGTCAGTCCCATCCTGATTCAAGATCCAGAAAAATCTATGGTAATCACATTTGCTGCCCAGTGTTTTGAAGCTATTCACATCCTCAATGGCTCATTCAATATTTTCACAGTAGTTTCATGTACTTGGATGAAATAGGAACTTTATACTCAGGAGAGATA